GACTCTGAATTCTCAACTAGAATTCCAAAACCTCAAGGCATGCCCAAGGCTTTCTGACGTTCTCCAATCCGAGGCGCCGATCACGGAGGAAAACGCCTCCACCTGCACTTGCTGCAGCTGGGAGCCCTCCGTCGCCAAACTCACCAGCAGGGGCTGGCAAATGAGACCTCGCGACCCATGTGCAAAAAGCACAAGTTGCCCAAAGCGGAATGAGCAACTAGCCGAGACATGGAGTTGCCTGACCTTTGAAAGGAACTGGACAAAAGGTGCCACTGAAGAACTCGGTTTCCTGTGTCCCCTCCGCAAAGCCCATTCGAATTCCATCGGAAAGGAGAGCAGTTTTCTCGGAGACACAGGAAGTCGCCCAAATTTGCAGTACTTAACCCAAAAACACCCAGCCTGAAGCCTAGATGTCGTGGCCGCCCAAAACATCTGCAGGGACCATTTCCTGTACTGACAGACCTAGCAACCCTCAAGATCGGAATTAAGAGTTGGTGCTTGTGAGCATTTCAACGTTGCGCACTCCAAAGACAGTTCTTGTCTCTTTCGGGAAAACAGGGCCACAAGGCAGGCGAGGCAAAGTCCCCTTGTAGCACTGGCGGACACTTCCGTCTGGTGATGTCTGTGTAACAAGATGGATTCGCATGGTTGGACGGCGTTGAATGAGAATCGTTTGGAGTCGTTCAACTGGTTGGTAGATACCAGGTGTGTCTGAATCAAAGGCATGCTTCTTCACTTTGCCTACCAAGTTTCCCAGCGACCTTTGCTGATACGAGCAGCTTTCACACAAATCCCCGGGTTTTGCCGATCCTCTTCTCCCTCGAGCCATTGTGTCTGAGGCGCATCGGCCAAAGAAGAAGGCGCACCTCGGATGCCGGGCCCTCACTGCCCTGGCAAGCTAGTTGCAGCCAAGGTTTTCCTGGAAAACGAGTTCAGTTTTCGCTTTTTCAGGAAAGAAAGGGCCCCCTGAACTCTCACTCCAGCCGCAGGTCGAGAGCTTCAGCCAAGTCATCGGCCAATGGTCCAGAACCCTTTGGGTTTTGAGTACAGAGTCACAAACAAACCTGCTCTTCATAAGCATCATTGGGTCAAATTTGAAGCAGTTTTGCCGCTGTGATCAATTCTCGCGGGGAACCTACACATAACGAGTTCGGCCTTGTTGCTCTTTGGTTCCTAGTGTCCGACCGCTGTTTAGAACCGCCAGCACCAGCTACCAGCCTACCAGATTCAGACCGGGGCCATGCCAGTTTGAATGGAAAAGGACGCGAGGGACAGGGAAACAGTGGAAGCAACTGACACAATGCTGACACAATAGGCAAAACAAGAGTCAGAACCAGCCAATCAGCTCGCTGCAGACAAGTCACAGGATCACCTCAGGATGCTTGCAACATGGAATCAACTTGTGTACCCCGAAGGATGTGGGAACAAGGGGTAGGCGCCCGGTTTCCTCCCAAACTAATTGACTACCAAAAATTCTGTCAGATGCTCATGTGAACCCCGTCGGAGCCTTGTTAAGGGGGCAGTGACTCTGGTTTTGACAAGCCCTATGTTGAGTGAGCTCCCATCCTGCTTTCACCTGGCTTTATTCCCGTTTGAACCATTTCTGGACTTGTGCCGAGGCAACATGGTGCAAACCAAGTGTAGTCTTTAATTTGTGTAACTTCCCTGACTCCCAAAAGCGCTTGTGTAAAACTAAACGTGGCTGCTTGCATGGACCTGTGTACGAAAAGGATGAACATTGCATATGCCTGTCGCACAGTGCTCGACGATATGGCTCAAGGCACGTGGACTTGATGGAAACCGGGAGCCTCATAAGTCAGAAGCAGGCTACTCGCATGCATTCTCTTCGTCTGAGCCACAGCTCCCAAAACCCACAGGGTCTCGATTCTCCAAGCCAACATCTACACAGCCCAGCGACTCTGGAGACAAAGGGATCCCTTGGGATGCACATTTCTGCAATACCATGCTTTGGACTGATGTGGCCGGGCCCATATTTGCTTCATTAGCTTGTCTTTTGAAGAAGCATCCCCGTAAGTTTAAGGGTGACCTTGGGTTATCCGTTTTCCACTGAGTTTTGTTGCGAAAACCTACGCAAATGCAGCTGTTCACGGAGGTTTGCGAAGTGTTCTCTGGTTTCGACTTCAGTTTCAGCCTAGCTCTGAGGTAAAACCAGGCGACACCTGTTCAAATCGCGCGGGTGTCAAGTTTGACCTCAGCAGTCCTGCGTCAGGAAAGAAACATTGTCGGTGTCTAAAGCAATCTTTGGGATCTTTTTCAAAAACTTTCTATCTTTGTGCCGAGCCCGGTGCTCGAGTCGCATTGTTTTCTACCTCTTCGACATTCTACCAGCGTGCCTGCGTTGCCCCACGTTCCCCGTGCATATCTCAAAGAAGAACGATGCCCGTAGGCTGAAAGTTTCACCTGGTGTCAGACCCTGTCACTACAACATGCAACACTGGCCCTAGCTCATCACTGCACAGCGGCAAGTTCACGCTGTTGCTAGGCAGAGAAGCATTGTCACCATAGCTCATCTGCAAGATTTTGTTTGAGCTTGATAGCATATAAACAAAACAAGCGTTTCTGTAAGTTTAATAGAGAGGTCGGCGTCAACTATTCCTGTAGTGAAGTTGCAAAAGGGGATCCATTTTGTGGGTGCCCCCCATTGAGAGAGACATGCACACCAGGGCGCATTGTGCCACATCCTCCAGCATGTTGGCGCCGAGGGTGAGGCAAAGAGGAGCATCTTTCCTTGCCGAGGTGTCAAGCATATGGGTGTGGCTCAAAAACTAAGAGCCAGGGCTACCCAGGTTTTAGACTTTGGTTCTATTTACCAAGGTGCCATTTTAGTAAATGCTTTTGAGCTACAGCCATATCTAGGTGGAAAATTCAACATCTTTTGGGCAGGCATTATCATCCCGGATGTTCGGTCGCAAACTCCTTTGCGAGGTCACTTTGATTTGCCCAGAACCATTCACCATGGGGAACGACAACCCTCAATCAATAAACCTAGCAGATTAATCGGGGCTGTCTCCAGGTCAGTTGCTTCATGGGTCCCCAATAGTGCAAACCCCAATTCGCCCGGCTGTTTTGGCCTCCCTCGTAACAGGGCACGTCCGTTTTGTTGGGAGTCTCGCACGCCCATCGGAATTGATGATCTTCGAGACGCACAATCCCACACAGACTGCCATGAAGATGCCAATGAAAGCACTGTTGATCTCAAGTTTGCTGAAACAAATAACATGGCCTAGATGAGATTGTATCCTTGCCTTTATTGAAACAAGAGGCCAACTCTGATTTCTGATGGGTCACGTGAGAAATTACCACAGCACATCGAAGCCTTTGAGACAACAACAATTGACAGCTTTCATCAGGGGTCTTACGCCAAAAAGAAACTAGTCTTCCGTGTATTTCCAAAAGGGCGATGTTTAAGCTCTCAGACCCTGGTTCACTTTGAAGAGAAGACAAAAGAGGTTCTTGAAGCAAGGCTTGTCGCTCGGCGCATCGTTGCCGCTTGGCCGCTGAGCAGGAGCCCTACACCGAAGGCGCCATAGAAGAAGAGCACCAAAAGCACTCGGTAGGGCGGGTTCATGGCAATGTCCCAGAACCTGGCAGAGATCCCGGAAAAAGTCAAACTCCACGCAGATTTGCCGGCACCATTCGCAAGGTCAATGGGATTTCAACTGGTGCATCTCCATCCTTATGTCAAGGGCAAGGGGGGAACAATACCAACAGTGTATGGCACCCAAGGCCTAAGGCATAGGGTCTATAGAGCCCTTGACAGGCTGCATAGGTAGCGTTCTCTTCATTTCTAGACCCTGAAGCGATCTGCTTTAGCCTCGGTTCCAGCCATGACCCAAACTCTCCCAGGGGGGCCGTGAATTCGAAGGAACTTAGGACCTTGATATATGCAGTCCTCTTTGGGGATTGACCAACTCACACAGGGATACATCTCAAGCTGCTATTGGAACTTGCGCAGTTGAACATGTTTCGTGCGCTTTGTTCTTGTCTTATATTTCATGACACATCTGCGGCACTTTCACCTGCTCACAAAGGAAGCAACATTGTGGGGGAAATTGTGCGGGCCGTTGGTATGCTCCCTTGGCAATTTTTAGGGCGACCACCATGCCGCCCTCAGCCGGTTGATTTCCTGCGGCAGATATATCCTCAAGCTTTGACTGGTTTAAACTGCCGCCTTGCCAGCCCGGTGAAATCAAAGGGAACGCCTGCCCTCGACGTTCCAGCGGTTTTGTCTTTACGTTGCCCCGAGCTCTTTCCTGGCGCCAAGGCGCATGGTTTTTTTCATCCAACCTGTCCCAAGCATCGAAGGCTGCCGAGGTGCAGCATCAGCCCAGTGGCCAAGGTGGACCAGTCCCAGCAAACCCAGGAGCGCCGGGTGTAGTGCCACTGAAATAGACCTGCGGAAGCTGCAAGGACCCGGAAATGGGTGTCCTTTGCGAGACCCAACCAATTTGCGGCTTTGGTTAAAAACGCAAAAATGGGGAAGGGGATGTACCTAAAAAAATACCATCCAAATGATTGGACAAACTTCAATGTCTACGTGGACATGGGAAGATTGATGTGTGACACTCTGGCGTTTTGTGGGAGAGTCGGGTCGTCCCCAGGTCCTCCAACAGCTTTCAGTTGCTCATATCGCTGTAATGACGAAACAATGTGGGACCCAAAATCCTGCCAATTGGGTAATCAATCCCATACCATAGGAAAGCCCACTCAACACCAAATCTCTGTCATTCTTCCAGAAACTCGGTGCATCAGGTGGTCGCCCTCGGCTGCCTTTGAAAAAGCTGCGCCCCTGCATGCAAAGAACCCTGAGGCAATATCTGAGACGGGCGTCTTCCAAAACAAGAGGGGCGGTCCCGACGGTCCCGAAGCCCAGTTGTCCCCTGATCTCAGAAGCCCTTTTTTTGGGTGGCATCCGCCCAGATGGGAAGGGAGGTCCTTTCAGCCCGCGAGCCTTCAACGGTGGGATCGTTGAAGGGGCTGTCTGCGGGGAAGGAAAGGAAGAGCTGCACCTGCGTGCGAACGAGCCAAATGCTGGTCACCAGGTCCGATTCCAAGTTGATATTCGGTTGCTTCTCTTCGGGTTCTCATTAACCACCGATAGGTTCTTGTCCAACTCTAGTCGATACCGTATTAAAAGCCTCTGGACTTGTGGCTTGGCTCAAGTTAAATATAACTCATGACATGGAAACTGTAGATCTTCTTGACTGAGGTAGGCGTTTTGCTTACGGCGGGGCAGTTGCCATCTCAAAGGTCACGTATTCACTGCTCTGTAGATCCACTGTCAACTTCCATTTTAGCATCCATAGGTTAGGCTTCACCGAGCGATCAACCATGAACTTGACCATACAAATGTCCTCAGGATGAGATCGAATGAAGGCCAAACCACTCGGAATTCACGCGTCAACGATGCGACTTGGAGGTGATTGCGGTCCATCGCATTCGTGGGGGTGTGTCAAAGCGTGATTGCTGATTGCTGCGAATATAGTTTAATTGGGTTGAATTTTGCAAACTGCTCACCGGAGCTGAGCATGCAGGGCTGGGGCTACGACAGTGCTTTTAGCTGTTCGCCTCTTGTATGTTGCAACATACCGAAGACCCACCTTCACCGGACAACGGTTGGGATGAGGCAACGGGACAATCGAGCAGTCAGGACCTGTCGGCATGACTGGAGAGATTTGTCGCAAGATAGGCATTGTGTTGGTTAAAATGGAGGTATCCGAGGCCCCTGAAAGGAATACTGGAGGGAGTCCCTGATTCAATTTGAAAACATCATTGGATGTCTTCTTTGTGGATGAAGTGGCGGAACATGCTTTTGGAAAGAGTCCCTTGAGCGATTGAATTCGCTTCGTCCAGGGAGGTCGCTCGCCAGAGATATTGAGAGTTTTTCATGAAACCACGCTGCTGCAAAAAACCCACCCCAAACACCCTGCCCAGTTGCTGTTCCAGAGTCGCTAGCCTTCTGCATTCACCCCCAACTCCCAAAACACGCACCCACTTTTCCAGTTCCAGCTCTTTTGCAAGAGATGTGCTGAAAAACCTGTCTCCCCCCCTCCCCCCCTCCCCCCTGGCTTCCCTTTGGTCCGTTTGGCTTACGCCGGTCCTTGAGGTCCTGCTTCAGCTGCTTGAAGCCCTCGCAGAGGTTCCGACACAGCGCCTCCGCCGGGAACCTGTGGCCTCGCGCGAGCCGGAAGGTTTATGTGGGACTGTAAAGCCAACTATCTTTTGGGGTCCCCCTTCAGAAGAAACGAGTTCGCGTGGACCTTCTTCTTTGCCAGGGTGGTATTTCCAACATCGGAACCCTTCTGGAACCCCTGCGGTAGAGGAGACCTCCAATCTCAATTAGGGTCTACAAAAATTGGGGGTCTGTCCCACCGTTGCAACTGACAAGTGAGGGTTCGCAAGAGCTGGGAGGTGCTTCCTAAAGGGAATGTCGACCGCAGATGAATCAACGTAGATCAGGACATTTCCCTCAAAAGTGAAGGATCCTATGAGCCAACCACTGGATTGTGAAACCTTAGTTCGAACGCGAGGTTCCCTTTTTAGTTTCCCTTCAGGCATAGGGGCAGCGGTTGCTAGGGTTCATCTCTTCAATCGAATTCTCAAGCGCTGAGCGCCTCGCAAACACGCGCGTTGAACAGCCCCTTGCTTGCGCTACCCTTGCTATCATATCGCGCCGACCTGTAAGTGGTTTGGTAAAATCATCTGGACATCGACCTATGATGGAAACTCAGCATCAAGGTCAAGAGCCAAGGCACGCGTGGCAGCATCTGTCTGATTACCTCAGAGCAGAACATCCTAGCGGAGGATGCATGTGTACCATGGTCAGAAGTCCTTATGTGGGTTGTGGTAGCGGCCCCCTCACGAGGAACGTTGTCTCATGATCGTACCTACCGGCCCCAAGTAGACGGATGTTTTGATCACGGCACATGCAAGCAAGCCTCAAAGCAAGCAGGAGCAGCGCTTGAGCATGAACCGGACTTCTGATATCATTAGGAAGAGCAAGGTCTAGTACATTCAATGTCTCCAGCTAATTCAATCGAACAATATCAAGGGGGCTCGCCCGGAAGAAACAACACACTGCCAGGGAGCTCTTGGTTTGCTTGACCGCATTTTGGAAGGGCGTCTGACGCAACCCATCTGACCATTTGAAGCAAAGAGAGGCATCCATCCCAACAGTCCTGCGATTGGTGTCTGAGTAGGGAGGGGGGCACTCAAGCAGTCAGTGAACTTGCGAATGCACAGCATGGCTGCGCATGAAGCAAAGGCCCTGACTAGGGACAAAGGGTTGGAACTGCAAATGTGAAGAGATTTCCCCCACGGCCCGTGATTCGCAAATCGCAGCTAAGTTGCTCGGACTGCCTGGCTCGACAAGAAACTCTCACTGCAAAAGTGCCGCAAGTCTCTTAGATTTTGGACGCATCTTGCGCCGACCTCCAGCCGTGAGAAGAAGCTTTGGCACCTCAAAAGGAACGAAAGACACCGCTGGAGGTCTGGAGTGCTACCGATTCCTGGCGCAGCGATTCCGAAGAACGTCTCGCTGCCAAAACAAACACGGACTATCCAAGAAGCCAGCAGGCAACCTACAAAGCAAAGCCTACAGCAACGTAAACTTGTTCATGCTTGGGGCTTGGCCAACATACGAATACTTTTCGGAACAGGCTTTCTTTGCAAGTGTTCAAGAATACCGACCTGACGGGCAAGAAACACTCTGAGGGCTCACTTCGAAGGACCCAATGATGGGGCTGACTGGGCAAATTCCATGCGGTTTCACCAGGTTCCCGCCTTGACGCGCCCATCTGCCGAGCACTGTGTCTTCGAACCTTTGTGCCAAGCTGTTGCGCACTGGGTTTCGGAAACAAACATTGGGCACACAGTCACAAACCTACCAGCCTCCACCACCAACCTCTAAACAACACCACCCACCACGCACCAATCACCAACCAACCACTGACGACCGAGCGCCAACGACCGAGCACCGACCACCGACAACTCATTACCGAGCATTAATTGCTGTCCGTCGCCACCGAGTGGTGAGCATCAAGCACCCGGCACTGACCACCAACCACCAACAGCCAACCACCAACGAACAAACACCACCGAGCACCGAGTCACCAAGCAGCGAGCATCCGCCGCTGAGCATCAAATACCAAGCATCAAGCACTGCCCACGCTTCGGGCAACCAGAAAAAAACAAGATGAACTAAACGCTGACAATGACTGAACTAAAACCTACAACATCATCGATGGCGAGCCAAGCCGGTAACTGTCATGTATGTACACATATTAGATGCATATATCAGGGAAACAAACATATCATTCACCAACCGAAAATAAGGGACCCCTGTAACAAAAATATCTCCATCACGCGCCAACCTAACAAAGGGACCCTGAAGAACAGAACCTTCACTGGCTTTCAGTCGAAACGCCGGCAGAGGCCACAATTGAATGTTGTCAGTGTCAAGATTTGAAACCTGAAGAAGCACACTTTGCATGGTCAACCCGTGCTTGATTGACTACAGGAACAACAGCAAACGTATTGCCATAATCAATAACTGCGTTTTGATCAGCCAGCTCAGCAATCAGGTTGTCTGTCTTTCTGGACGATTGGGGACATTAGGTCTCGGTAATTGTCCTTGACTCTTTGGCCAAGCAAGAGGCCGTTGTGTCACCCCTTTCTCTGCCAAGCATCTCTAAAAGAATTGATTGACGCCCAATTTTCACGGATGTTGCGAATAACCAACGTGGCAGATATCCGCCTCTTTGGGGCTGTTCTTTACAAGCCTTGACCTACCCGAATCGGTTTTGCTGACACGTCTGAACATTGCCTTTTGCTGTGGTTGCTTAATAAGATTTCACCCACTGGGGCCATTGAAGATCCTATGGCAAATAGTCAGGGGGGCGGATTTCCGTTTTATCTTCCATACCCCCTACCTTGGACGATATCGAAACAAAAGGGATGGGCAAAGGCGGCCAAAACAACCAAGATTTGAAGTTGGGCCCATCCACCATCAAGCTGACTTCGCCTTTTGTCGTCCTAGGCCCAGTTACCCAAGTCCCTTGTGGCTGAATAGATGGCCCTAGCAAACGATAAGCTAACCTGACCTAGAAGAGCACATACGAGCCGCGGCTAAGCTATGCGGTTTCCTTAAGAGACATGGGACAACTCAGGCCTCCCCCCCCCGCGGTGTAGCTGCAGATGAACGTCCTTCCCAACTTCGTCCTAGACTGCATATGTGACCGAACCTCACATGGGGTTTCCTTCTTCAGGTTGGTTTGAAGATGCCTGAGGGTAAACCAGTACACCAAAAGGAACATCATTTTCTGAGCTGTCCTTCGATCCCCCGCTAAAAGTCCAACTTTTAGTGGGCTAAATGGAAAACCCCACTAAACCACGAAAAGCTAAAAAGCTAAAAAGCTAAGGGGATGGCTTGTAGCCACCAAGTTTTGTCATTTCGGCATGGCTCAGTCGCGCCCAGTCGCCAAAGCTTCAGCTCCTCTGTACATCGCGCCAGCCAATTCGGCGACCCCGAGGGTCGCGCCTGAATGCTGTCGGTGGGTTTCCCTTGAAACCACTAAGAAACTCCTAAAGGCACACACTTGTGACACACCCCTGGCTTGTTCAATGGACGGACGGGCTGGTTTTGAACAGCGCAACTTTTTGCTAGGGCCAGCAGTGATTTTCATATTCATAGATCACAGACATACAATGAAGCAACTAAATAAATTCCCCCCCACATTTGAAACATGGGCGTGCAAACCCCTCAAGTGAGAATCCAATCAGATGCCTCACTATTCGCCAAGGAAACCTGTTTTTCCCTTCCGATTTTTCTTACCAGGGTGAAAAGGTACCGAGCCCCAAACAAACACACACACACACACCCTCTTCTTGGGAAAAAACTCTCTTCTCTCGCCCCCAAAAACCATCGTACTCACATCTCGCCCAAACATACATACATACATACATAACATAATATAACATA